ATACATAAAATGTATAATGTAGTGCAGTTAATCCAAAGAAATTGTCAACAAGTACTGAGCAAACCTAAAGAATATGCATCAGAGAAGTAAGCTAAATCTGTGAAGCATAAAAAAGACGTTAAAAAAGGAGGCATCAAAAGAACTGCAAAACGAAATAGAGAGGAGAGAGAGCAGACGAGAGATACCAGAGAGGAGACAAGACCAGATAGAGAGAGAGGAGACGAGACCAAGAGAGAGGAGACGAGACCAGAGAGAGGAAACAAATAGACGAGACTTGCGTTGCCGATGAGACCAAAAGATACGAGGTAGAGTTCTATTAATTGACTCGATTCTTGTAGGTGTAGTCGTGCTAGGGTGTAAACGATTAGCGTTTAAGATGCCATTACTCAAAAAAAATTGCCAACCCATTTTTAAAGGCCCATTGTCGAACTAGAGTATGACGAGGCTGATTTCGAAAATAAAAACTTACAAATACAAATTCCGAAATAAACAAAGAAATTAAATTTCTCCTACATATTGGTAAGCATTAATTAATAATTACAATGTTTCCATTTTTTGGTTAGGAGAATATAAAAAAATATATTGCGTGGGCATTAATTTTGGTAAGCATTAATTAATAATTTCTACTATGTATCCATTTTTTTATTGGGAGAATGCAAATATATACAAATACATACATACACACACACACACACAGATATATATATATATATATATATGTATGTGTATATATATATATATGGTATATATGTATGTATGTGTGTGTGTATATGTATATATATATATATATATATATATAGCGTAAGGCTAGGTTGACTAGGCTGATTTTGAAATAAATAAAGTTTACGAATTCTGAAATAAATAAAGAAATTAAATTTTTCTTACATTTTAGTAAGCATTAATTAATAATTACTATGTTTTCATTTTTTGGTTGGGAGAACACACAAAAGTATTGCGTAGGCATTAATTTGGTAAGCATTAATTAATACTTTTTACTATGTTTCCATTTTTTGGTTGTATAGAATACAAAATAAAAATAGCGTACCAATAAGTTTCCATTTTTATTAAAAGGCTAGGCTGACACACACACACACACACACACACACACACACACA